AGACTATGCTTGCTTCATTTTCCTAATATCTGCTGAATAGCATGCTACTGTTGGTAATTATGTTTGCCTCTACAGTTGTTGACAGAGATTTTGCAGGGATGTACTAAAGTAGAAGTGTCAGCTCAGCCATTTCCTTGTTTATTTGTTCTAGCATTATTAAATTAGGGTCAAACTAGTTTCCTTACAAAAACTTTCTTAGAGCTCTCTTCATTTTACAAGGGGCAATTGAGGTGCCACTAGATGGTATCATGTGTAAATCCACTTAATAGGACATACACAAACTTCAATGTCTCAATGTACTGAGAGCAAATAAGTAAAGATACTGCTTTCAATGTCTGTTCATTGTTGCATTCCTACTTCCCTGAAGATCTTTCACTTTCTGCAGTGACATGTGGCTATATGCCCATGTTCCAAGTGAAGATACCATCTTACTGCCCCCCTCACCCCTCTCTCTCCCACCTCACCCCACTCTCTATCCCCTGAGATGGATTCATAAGATTCACAGATACATAGACCCACACACAGACATATATACACATATAGATTGACACATATATACACATACATAAATATACACATTACATAATAGTTATAAATTTACTTTCTTATTCTATTAAAAAATCTTTCTATTGATACTTCACTAGGTTCTCTGACACACGCTTGTAAACCACTGATATAGAAGTGACAGCAGATAGGATAGCACCCAGGGAGGAGGAAGGATCTGGATGCTTAGAACTTAATGGAACCTCAACAGTTAAGGAAGATGTAAAGGGGATAGGATGTAATGTCTCAGGACTGAAGCCCTACGTAGGAATCAAGAGTGTCAAAAATGAAGTGAGGAGGATTCTAACAAATGGCTCCTTTACATTCAAAGCAAAATGCATTTTCAACTTGATTGTCTTTGGTTATTAAAATATTCAAGACTTCAGTATAATTCTTAAAGTGCTCCAAGAAAATACTAGGGAATTGCTCATATGGGTTGAAAAAATAGGAGGCAATATTTCACAAATACAACACACACATGACTTTTCAGTACAAACGTGCATGGAATTATAAAAACACTGTTTAGAACAAGAATGTCCACCTCAGCTAACATTTACTGGGATATTGTTCTTGGCTCTTTTGCCAGTGGCCTTTTTCTCCCTGAATGTAAAAGTTTAGTCATACTTATGCTGATATGTTTCTGATAGACAGATGGAAGAACCACAGAGGAGCTGGGGTTATTTGCTGCTTCCTTGTCTGAGTCTTTGTGACTCTGGCCAAGTTGGGACACTGTGATTAATATGAGATACAGATGTCAGCTGTGCAATCAGCGTCTGACTCTGGCTGGGTGACAGGCTGATTTGGCTGTGCAGGTGACAGTTTTCATTTGCTTGGGTTTATGTAAGTACCTCCCTCCTCCCCAGGAAGAAGAGGTCTCTCTGTGGCAGCTAAAGGATGGTATTTATTCCCCAGATTATGAGGATTTAGAGGCCAGAGATCAAGCTATAGCTTATGAGATTTTTTTGGTAATGTTTCCGGCAACTGAAGTAGATGCTTAATGAAGACTTGCTAAATCAATATAGATACATATGACCCTACATCTACTTTCACTTCCACAAACTGATTTCCAAATGAGAGGAATAATTCGTGTAATTTATTCAAAATGGATAAAGATTTGATTTCCAATCCTGTGGCTTCCTCTCATAGCTGTGTAACATTATGACAAGTTAAATATGGCATTCTGAGCCTTACTTTCTGCATCAGTTAGATAAGAATGACAATACCCACCTGATATAATATTGAGACGATTAAATGAGAGGAACTATAATGATTCATATGTGGCTCACAGTAGGTCCTAATAAATGATAGTGATCCTTGTCTCCTTTTTTCTTTCTTTCTTTCCTTGAGTGGAAAATACAAAGGTGTTCAAATAACAATATCAAAATTGCTCATTATGAGTACATACTAGGCTAGTGCTTTATATATATTATTTTCCCCAATAACACTATGAAGTGGATATTGTTATTATTATTATTATCATTATTATCCCCATTCTACAGAGAAAGAGACTCAAACATCAAGTGGTAGATTCAAAGTCAGCTCTGTGCTTCTAGTAGTTCTGAAACTGATTACAGTCATGTTGCATTATGTAAAAGCCATTAATAAGATTTTTAACATCAAATGACATTTTAAAAACTGCTTATAACTTATCTATTACTTTCATCAACACACGAGCATGAATGAGAATGCAAAAATCCCATGCAAATACACACAGTGCGCGTAATTGTTGAGTCTCTACGGTTACAAGCTGGAGGCATCAAGCCTTATTACTTCTGTTCTCAGTAGAGAATCTGAGAACCTCTTAAAGATGGGACTCAGTCACTGATTTGCCAGACCATAATCCAATTTGTTCACAGACAAAAAATACTTCGCTTTCAGGTCTGTCATCTCATCCCTTAGAACAATGGATGATTGCCCATAAAGCTAATAATGGTGCCGCCCTCACTTAATTATACTTTGTGGTCATCTCAAAAAAGCTTTTAGTTTCAGATAAGTCTGAAAAATTAGAGGCTGGTTAAAGAACAGGAAGAAAATTCTATTAAGTCCATATCATATAGATCTCAAATAATTTAGCAAAAATGTACAGGAGAGAAGGAAAGAAGAACTGTTTAGCAATCCTTAGTGACCTCAGTTATATTTATGTGTTCCTGCTGTCCTCTCTTATCAAACATGACAATCTCCCTTCCAAAGTCAACTACTGCCATTATTTGTCCTCTTCTGAGCCTAAAAACCTTTATCAGTTTGCTGCATATCTCTGTCCTTGAGGTACCACCCCCTTTCAAGTAACTGCATAGCAAATCTCCACTAAAACAAACAGTTCAAGTCCTAGTTCTACCACTCACTGTCTCCCTAATTTGTTTCTTTGTCTATGTTCTCTGTGTCCTTAGATATAATTTAACCTCCCTCTTCAAATTGTCTGGCGTTATTCTAAATTCTCTAGTCCTATCTCAATAGCCAACCTTCACCTTTCTTACTAATTTGATACTATTGTTCTGCTTTTTCTATAAAATTCTTATTTCTTTTATTTCTATTAATATTATAGTCTATGGTCAGTTTCTCTACATAACTCTCTAATTTGTCCATGGTGTTTACTTTAATCTTCTGTGATATTCTGAAAATTCTAGAGACTGAATGTTTAAGTATTGACTATGAGGTGAAATAAGAAGGCTCAGTGGTCAAAAGAATTTTGACACTTCCTATTTAATCATGGTTATTCCTAGAACCCTATGAATGAAGACAACTGAATGGACTTACATACCACATTTTCGTTATTAAAAAATATGCACACATACAATGGAATATTATTCAACCTTTAAAAGAAAGGAAATCCTGTCATTTGTGACAACATGGATGAGCTAAAGGACATTATACTGACTTAAACAATTGAGGCAAAAAAGACAAATAATTCAAGATCTCAATTATATGCACAATCTTAAAAATTTTAACTCATAGAAACAGAAAGTAGGATGATGGTTTTTAGGGCTGGGAAGTGGGAGAAATGGGGAAATGTTGGTCAAAGGCTACAAAATTTCAGTTATACAGAACAAATACAATCTCAAGATATTATGTACAGCATGGTGACATAATAAATAATGCTGTATTGTACAGCTGAAATTTGCTAAGAGAGGTGATCTTAAATGCTCTCATTACAAAAAAAGTCAACTATGTGATGAATATGTTAATTAGATTGGTGGTGGTAATCATTTTACAATGTGTATATACATCAGAACATCATATTGTGTGTATACATATATACACACACACGCAATTTTTATTTGTCCACTATACCTCAATAAAGTTCCAAAAAATGATAATATCTATATGGCCATGGTACCTTAAAGATTATTACATAATTTTCACTAGATCATTAGTACAATATAGAGGGCAATTCAAAATATAAAGAAGCAGTTTAGGATACACTGGAGTTCAGGAAGCAGAAATGAAGCCACCATCATCAAAAGATGCCTTTTGAGATTTTACAATCTGCATAACATATTCAGGATATAAGTGTACTTTTAAAAATTTTTAGTTTGACTGTGAAGTGTTTTAAAAAACCTGAGCTCCAGGCTCTATTTGTCTGGTTCTAGCTATTCGACTTGCAGCAGTTTAATCCAACACATTCAGTAAGTGTTTTTAATGCTTATCATGTACAAGAAACATGCTAGGTACTGCTAAAGACATGAAGAGGAGTAATACAGTCCCTTCTCTCAAAGCTTTTGCATTGGATTGGAAGAAAGAAAGTTCTTCCCCCTCCTGTGATGGTTAAAATTATTCTCTTGTAGAACCTTTCTAGCAACTCCCCTACATTCTTCAGTTTAAGAAACAAAATGTAAAGGAAAATGTGGGTGTTTTTTTTTTCACCATTTAAATTTATTTTTGGTTCATTCTTGATATGTTTTCTGTGTGTTTTTGTCTTTGCCTTTCTGGTTATATTATTGGAGAAATCAAAAGTTATAAAAGAGCCAGATAACTTTATGGAGAAAAACTGCCCTGGCAGCCCTCCTAAAGCTACCTAACCACTCACGTTATTGATTACAGACAGGCTGTATGTGAAGCAATGTGTGGTCTGCCTCAAACCCACCCTCATACCTGAGAAGAACATATGTCCCTGGTCACCAACTTTATCCTCATTTCTTGAGACAGACCACCGGCCACTGTGCCTGGAGCAAGTGGGAGCCCTGATGATATTTTATCTCTGATTCTGCACACAGGACTCAGCTAAGCAAATATTCCAGATGCCAGGGAGTGAAACCAACAGAATGGAAAGTTTACAGTATCACCATTGCTGAAAACACAGAAGTAGCATCTAATGCCCCCTTCTCAGTTGCTTTTTGGTTACTTCTTGACAAACTATTTAAAAAATATTGAAACCTTAAAGTAGTGTTAATTTTCAAAGTGCTGCTCTGACTTCAGAAATTGTCTACTTGCTCTCTTCTTAAATTATACCACTTAGGAGAAAGAAATCTGTGCTAAACAGACACATTGGGTTTTGTGGGGGCAGGAGTGGAGTTGTAGAGAAGAGCCGCCTTGTTTCCAATCCAGGAAGTTGGCCCTCAATCCTCCTGCGATGAGAAATGAGAGAACATTCTTCTCACCTTCTACTTGGTGAGAAAGAAGATTTGCCAGAAAACAGGCACCGCCTCAGATTATGCCATGACTTTTCCTGCCTAGTGAAAATCTATATCCCTGTCAGCAGAGTTGCATCCTTGGAAGGAAGATTCATAAAGGCAGCCATCTGTCAGGGAAATAGATGTCCTGTGTTTACGCTGAGACTGGCTCTGCTCAGACTTGCCCTTGGAAGGTGCCCAGTCTGGAGTGCACTGCAGTTTGCTCTTGTTGGCGGCAATCACTTTGCCTTTCACGGGAATTTAAGAGTCAAGACCTGGCATGATAAACTCGTATGACTCAAGGGTCATCTTGACTGAGTTTGAATCCTAGTCCTGCCACTTATTATTATGATGGATTTGTCTATTATTTAGCCTTTCTAAGCCTCAGTTTGCTCTTATGTTAAATCAATACCAGAATGCCAATGTGTTAGAATGATTTCTAGAGTTTGATGATACACTGTAGGTGAAGTGACTATCATCTCACCTAACAAATAGTTCTCACTCATTAAATGTCACTTACCCCCAGCCGTTCTGGTGATGCCAGTGCTGGACAGGATCATGTGCATGAAGGGAAGATAACACCGCTACAGTCACCTCAAGCTCCAGGAAAACAGGAAGCAGTTGGAAAATAAGGTCTTCCCAGGCCCTCCTTCTGCCAACTCACAGAACCAGGGCCTTGGGGATCCATAAGGCTCAGAGATGAGGACAATTCATCATTTTGCACCAGCTCTTCCACTGGTTTAAACCAGTACAGGCTGGTTGAAAAATTCTCCACATGGCAGGATTAGCTCTCATGAGACCAGATCACTTGGCAGAGCTTCCTGGATATCAGACCACTGTATTTACCTTAAGAAAATCCTTCAAATCTGCTAATTACAGAGAGTCCTCATTGCCACACCAATGTATTATATCGGCTGTCAGAAAGATGTTCTACAGGGAGAATACAGCTTTAAATTCTGGGTTGTCGAGATTAAACATTAACTCCTGTGAGTATATAAGTATGTGTGTATTTGTGGTGTTGACATGGGCAAGGCCTTCTTTTTTATAAAAAAAAATTTTTTTTTGATTGAGAACAATTTAAAAATCTGACTTTTGTAAATGTATATATTGCCTTTAAACATTTATGTGCTAAATAGCTTAAATCATTTAATTCCATAAATTAGAACTATTCACTGAAAGAAATTCTCTCCAGTGGTGAGATGGCAGAATTTCATACATGGAGTTCCACTGAACTTTTAGTTGGCAGATTATAACTCCCGATTTATGTCAAATGGACATTACAATTACTGGTGACATGACATACAGAGGCACTGAGTGCAGGGTGCCAAGTGGTCTCCAGCCTAAGGGGGAGCAAGAGGCAAAGGAAGCACGTGGAAGATGAATATGATTGTTGTTTTCAAGATATTGTCACTTATAGAGTAGTTTCAAGGCTTGAAGCATTTGCTATTAGACACAGAAGACTCACCTTCTGTGGAAAAGAAGTATTTATTCACTTTCTTAAGAAACTAAATAATCATCAGATGTAGTCTTTTCAAATTAAATGTCTCAATTGGTATTAAACAGCCAGCACCTGGGGAAGGCTAAACATGACTGCATATGACGGGCTCGAAATAGCACAGATAAATTTAGAATCTTCACTCACCAAACAGGGTGATCCCTCTGGGTCTTATGACTGGTCGTGTTCATGTTCTCAACTGACTCATACTGCACACTAGTAGCCTTTGGTCACTGCGGAGCCCACTCACATTTCCTTCTTCCGTCTACAATCTATTTTAATCACCTCTGCTCTCTCTAGCTTACCTACCCGGCCTCTTACTTACTCATAGCTTTACCTACTCTAATAATGTCTTTGGATATAAATGGGCATTTGTAAGTTCATCAGCATGTTTGTTTGTTAGTGCATCTCTGTGGGTTTGCATGTGTCTGTATGTATTTACATATATGTAAGTGGGCTTAAGAAATATTAGCCTCGAGTTGAGTAGGCCCCTGGATCTTGATTCCTTTCCTTCCCTTAACTGCCCTTGTTCCACCTCAGGTGGAAGAGCATCCCTCTGGGGGATTAGGTTTGTGTCATTCCCTTCCTGTAGATTTTGGAATAAGGAACTTCCCTCCCAACTCCGTTTTCCCTCATCTGTTTCCTTAGCAAAGTATGCAATGAGAAGAACTATCAAACATTCAGGAACAAAAAGCCAGACACATTTTTATTTTTGTAATTGTTTTCAGGACAGCAGGAATCCTGTGTGTCACAGATGTACCGATTGTGGTATTATAACGAGAGAACTGAGAGAAAGTATAACCATTTATTACCTTTACCATGAAAGAAAGTGTCACAGCCACCTGGGGAAGAGCTGGACCTTGAGAAGTCATTGTTCCATTCCAGGTTTTCTGTGTGGAAAGCAACTCTCTCCACCTCGTCCTGTCATTTCACGGCATTGTTGATACAGTGGGGGCACAGCAAAACTACTTTTAATTATGTGAGAATATAAAATAATATCCAAATTCTTAAAATTTCTTTGCTATTTCTAGTAATTTTTAGAAGTCTATTATTGTTCCTGTCTCTCCACATCCACACCAACATTAATTGTTTGGGGACTTTTTGCTAAAACTAATTCTCACTGGAGTTAAGTGATATCTCATTGTGATTTTAATTTGCATTTCCCTGATGATTAGAGATGTTGAGCATTTATTAATATGTTTGTTGGCCATTAGTCTGCCTTCTTTTGAAAAGTTTCTGTTCATGTCCTTTGCCCACTTTTTAATAGGGTTGTTTGATTTTTTCTTTGCTAATTTTCCTGAGTTGTATATAGATTCTAGTTATCAGCCCTTTATTGGATGTATAGCATGCAAATATTTTCTCCCATTCCATTGGTTGTCTATTTCGCTCTAATGATAGTTTCCTTGGCTGTGTAGAAGCTTTTTAACTTGATCAGGTCCCATTTATTTATTTTTGTTGTTCCTGTGACTGCTTTTGGGATCTTCTTCATAAATTCTTTGCCAGTCTGATGTCTATAAAAGTTTTTCCAAAATTTTCTTCTAGAATTCTTATGGTTTCATGCCTTAGGTTTAAGTCTATTATCCATTGTAAGTTGATTTTTGTGAGAGGTGAGAGGTGCAGATCCTGTTTCACTCTTCTACATGAGGCTATCCAATTTTCCCAGCACCATTTATTGAATAGGGATTCTTGTTTGCTTTGTCAAAGATCAGATGGCTATTTGAGGATTCACTGATTCACTGAGAAGCGGGTTCTCAGTGCTGTTCCATTGATCTTTGTCTCTGTTCTTGTGCCAGTACAATGCAATTTTAGTTACTACAGGCTTGTAGTATAGCTTGAAGTCTGTTAAATTGATGCCTCCCAATTTGTTCTTTTTGGTTGCTTTGGCTACATGGGGTCTTCCCTGGTTCCATATGAAGTGTAAAATTATGTTTATTTTCTAGATTTGTGAAAAATGATGTTGGTATTTTAATAGGGATTGCACTTAATCCATAGATCACTTTGGGTAGTATAGACATTTTAACAATGTTGATTCTACCAATCAATGAGCGTGGTATGGTTTTCTATCTGTTTATATCCTTTGCTATTTTCTTCCTCAGTGTTTCATAGTTCTCCCTGTAGAGGTTGTTCACCTCCTTAATTAAATATATTCTTAGTTATTTTATTTTCTTTCTTGCTATTGTGAAAGGTATTGAGTATCTGATTTGCTTTTCAGTTTGAGTGTTGTTGGTATATATCAATGCTACTGATACACTGCTGGTGGTACTGCAAACTAGTACGACCTCTATGTAGTATAGTGATACCTCAAAGAACTGAAAGTAGAACTACCATTTGATCCAGCAATTCCACTGCTAGGTATCTATCCAAAGAAGAAAAAGACAATCTATAAAAAAGATATCTGTACTCAAATGGTTATAGCAACACAATTCACAATTGCAAAGATGTAGAAACAACCCAAGTGCCTACAGTACATGAGTAGATTAATAAAATGTGATATATGTACACCATGGAGTACTACTCAGCCATAACAAATGGCAAACTATCTATTGTATTATCCTGGGTAGAGCTGGGGCCTACTCTTCTAAGTATCACAAGATTGGAAAAACAAGCACATATACTTACCATCAAATTGATACTAATTAATCAACACTAATGTACACATGTGGAAAGTAACATTCATAGTGTCAGGCAGGTGGAAGGGGAGGAGAGGCTTGGTAAATTCATACCTAATGGATGCGGTGCGGGCTGTCTTGGGGATAGACATGCTTGTAGCTCTGACCTAGGCAGTGCAAAGATAATTTATATAACCAAAGCATTTGCATCCCCATAATACTCTTTTTTAAAAATTTTTATTTATTTATTTATTTTGAGACAGAGTCTCGCTTTGTTGCCCAGGCTAGAGTGAGTGCCATGGCAGCAGCCTAGCTCATAGCAACCCCAAACTCCTGGGCTCAAGCAATCCTCCTGCCTCAGCCTCCTGAGTAGCTGGGACTACAGGCATGTGCCACCATGCCCGGCTAATTTTTCTATATATATGTTAGTTGGCCAATTGATTTATTTCTATTTATAGTAGAGATGGAGTCTCACTCTTGCTCAGGCTGGTTTTGAACTCCTGACCTCTAGCAATCTGCCTGCCTCGACCTCCCAGAGTGCTAGGATTACAGGTGTGAGCCACCACGCCCAGCCTCCATAATACTCTGGAATAAAAAAATAAATGAAAAAATAAAATCTGTGAAAAAATTTTAAAGTCTATTATTGTCCAGAATAAAAGATAAAGAACAAATATAAAAATTAAATTATTGCCTACCATTTACCAGACATTTTTATATACTTTTCTTCACAATTTTCAATCTTTACAATCATTCCACATAGTTGCATTACCACTGCAAGTCAGGTGGTTAAGTGACTTGCCTTAGGCTATATACTTATTAAATGGTAGAGCAAGAATAATAGCTATAACGCTTCTCTTGGTAATCATCTATTAAGCAACTAGTTGAATGGGCATAGAAGAAAATTTCCTGTAGCTTTTTTCTCTTCCTAGGCCTTAGGAGCATATAAGTAGAAATAAAATCCTTTTTATCTTATATTCTCAAGCTAGGATTCTAACTTTTTGGATTCAGGAACCACACATCAAATTCCATTTGGTATCAAATCCAATATATAGTTCATAGTAGGTACTTAATAAAAATATATTGATATTGCCTGTTTTCAATTTATTGAAAAATGTTTTATATCTCTGTTTTCCTTTCATCTCTTCGTAATTAACATTCTTTTTTTATTTTGTATTTCTTTATAATCTCCTCTCCCTAACTTAATGGGTTAGAACTACTTAAGGTCAGTGAAATAAACAGTTGGTTTCTTGAACAAAGCTGCTTAATTTTATAAAGTTTGTAAAGCTTTCAGCCAAGTTTAAGGAAAACATCAAAGATATTGAAACAAAATCACTTAAAGTAAAAAAAAAAAAAAGTCTTGGGAATAAGTTCTCTCTCTCTCTTTCTAAAGAACCTAACTGTAAAATAAAGTGTATGAATGATAAAAATTGTGCTTATAAAATAATTTGTTCAATATATAAAATATTTGTTGAATTAAAGTCTATATCCAGGGACCAGGACTTTAAATTCTAGCTAGTTATATGCCCTACATATTTATAGAGTGCCTATTGTGAGCCATATTATGTGCTTGGGTCAGAATAGAGAGATAAAAGACATGGTTCCTGCCTTGCAGAAAATTAGGATTTAAAGACTCTATGGAAAGATTATGGGTTTACAATGTCTGGACATGTAAACCAACTACTGCATTGCCATGTGAGAAGTGCTATGGTAGAGATTATGCAAGTATTTTGGAAGAACAGAATAATGGTATCTTATTGAGACATTGTGTCAAGAGAGTTTTCCTAGAGAAGTTGGCATGTGAGAGGAATTTGAAGAACTCACAGTAGTAGCTGGCTCTATCTATAGAAAAGGGAACAGAAGAGGAAGTAAGCAACTGGATGGCTCTCAAGGTTCATTCTTCCATAATTTACGGGGTTAGGGTAGATTTAGTATGTTCTTTATTTAGACTTTCTTTTTTAAAGACATGCACTATTTATTACTATTTTTGTTCTTTTCATTTTTCAAGACACTGGATGAATTCACAATTTGTCCAAGTCTTGGTCCAACCTCCTATTTCTCTTCGGTTAGTTGAAATAGTGGGTTCTGAATTTGTAATGTCTGATTTTGTTTTGGGATGTTTAATTAAATAAAGTTCTGCTACCATCAAGTCTGAACCAGATTAAAAAAGCTCTGCCTAGGGACTATCCATGACTCCCTTTATTGAAAATATAAGAGTTGTAATGAACATGTCAGCTATTGAAAACAGACGTTTCATGTTAATTGAAAGTAATTTCTTCTCTTAAAGCGGTTGATCATACTTCCTGAAATTCGTATAATACCATCTGTTTGCTCAGAAATGCATTTTTTCCCAAATAGAATACAAGTAAACTTGAATCCAACTCATCCCAAATGATGTTACAAATTAGTGTATTCCACATTAATGTGGTGTTGCAATACATATAAGTGAACATTTGTTATTGCACTATAACAGGATTTAGCTTTACAATCTTTAAAATGCAAAACCAGGAAGAAACATTTGAAACAACTTTATGTGGTTTAATAGCATAACACGTATAATTAGAGTCTTAACATCCATATTAATGAGGAGCCTGGGTTTAGAAAATGGATAAGGAGAAGGGAGGAAGCCAGAAAACTAAATAAGAATTGATCCCTTTGGCTGCAGATAGACAGATCCTGAGAGATGAGGTCATATGAATCCTCATATCTATTGAAACACTTCAACTCATCCCAAATGACAAGTTACAAATTAGTGTCTTCCAGATTAATGTGATATTGTATACATATAAATGAACATTTGTTATTGCACTTATGTGCACATTTTGTGTAGTACCAAATGGGTCTTTGTCCACATTCTACCAGCAGCTGCATGTATGAATTTGTAGAGTCATTTCTTTTTTTTTCTGTAACTGCATTAGGTTCTGTCTTAAGTCTCTTCCTCTACAAGTGTATTTGATTCTTATCTGTATCTCATGTTGAAAAAATGATTGGACAGGTTCTATAAAGTGCTAAGTTGTTACTGGAAAGTGAGCCATAGACCCTGGCAGAAGTGATCATTCTTTCAAGACATCGGGAATGCATAACGAATGCACAGAGATGGAAAATAGATTTCTATAATATTTGTATGCCAAGTTTGTGGTACTGGTTGGCCAGGACATTGTGTTATCCTATATCAACAGTAGGATCTGGCTAGTAAGTCTGAGGTCAGCTGCAATGTGCAATTAAACTTAAACTTCTGCATTAAGTACAGACTTGGAATAGAAGAACTAAATGATTCCAAGGTTATTAAAGAATCCTCTTCCCCAGTGTCTTGAAAAAGCAAAATCAGTGCCTTATAGTATTCTTACACAGAAAAAGAATCACTAAATATGAAATTACAATTAAAAACCTATTAACACACAAGGAAGCAAGTCACATGAGTAAGTTCATTAAAACATCTACAAGAATTTTACATATCATAATTAATCAGCTACAGAATATAAAGCAACTATATGTATGAAATATAAGAAAATGATCCTGGAGGAAAGATCTATGAGATGAAAACAATAGTGAGCAAAGAAAATGATAATCTTTAAATTTTTCAAAATATTGAGTACGTAAAATAATAACATGTCCAATTTGTGGAAATAACCATGGTGCAAAAGTAAAATACTGACAAGTGGAATTGTAAGTGAAACTGTAATTTATCTACCTCAGTAACCAAGAGGTTTGGGATTTTAGCAGCCATATGGGAAGAAGAGATATAGTATTCACCTTGACCATGTGGGGGGATGGAACCAAGAAACCTGAATCAAGCTGGGCATTTGAAGGGCTACACAATGACTAAAAGGGTTGATAGAAAAAAAAAATATTCCTAACATAAATGGAGGATCCAAAGGAAACATTTCTTTTTCCTAGCCTCCCCTAGGAAATTAAAACCAAAGCCTACTTTCCTTCAAAGGAAGGAAACTTAAATCAATAAAATTAACTTAAAGTGACCCTGAGTCAGTAGCATCCTGAGGTTCATAATAAAACAAAACACAGGTAATTTCTGAAAGATATATCTGCAATCCAGACTCACTGGATCCTCACATATAAAATCCCAATGAACATGAAGTAACAATAGATAATTACTAAGGGAAACAGCCCACATTGACTAAAAATCGGTTTAGACATTATGAACAAGGGGATAAAAAACACAATTAGGCCTTGACCACCAGGAATATAAGATGAGAAAATATCAGAGAGAATATAACTACATTAAAAATACTGAAAGAAAATGTAACCAAAAGCAAAGAAAGAAATGAATCTTAGAAAACTATCAGGTGTGAAAGCAAATAAGTAAAACATCTATGAATGCAAAATATAATTACTGAAATTAAGAACCTCAGTGAATTTGATAATGATAAAAGTAAGACATAAGAGACATTAGTAAACTATTTATCTGAATAAATTACCCCAACTTAATCAAAGAGATATTATTGGTGGGAATGCAAAATCATATAGCCATTTTGTTAAATGGTTTGCCAGTAACTCATGGAATAAAATATATGCTCACAACTCAGTAATTCTGCTCTTAGGTATATACTCAAGAGAAATTTTAAAAAGATATCAATGCAAAAACTTGTTCGCAGATGTTTACAATGGCCTTATTCATAACCAACAAAATTTTAAAACAATCTAAATATCAACTGTTATAAATACATATAATGAAATATTGCTTAGCAACAAATAGACACAAAATGTTGATGCATGCAATGGTGTGAGTGAATCTTAATGCATTAAATGAAGAATATAGGCTCAAAAGCAGTTACGACATATGATTCCATTATATGACATTCTGGAAAAGGCAGACTATAGGGGTAGAAAATACATCAGTGGCTGCTAAAGACTAGGGAAGAGAGGGAGGTTGACTACAAAAAAGAAAAACGGAATTTCAGGAGGAAGGACAAGGAAGCTGCTATTCATGGTGATGATTACATGGCTATGAACTTGTCAAAAATCATAGACCTTATACAAAAAAGGGTGAATTTTACTACATGTAAGTGAGGGCTCAAAAAATGAAAAAATAATAATGTGATATAAACAACAAAAGGTTATAAACAGGATAGCTTTATAATAATTCACCAAGGAATCAAACTAAGAAATCAACTAATTTACCATTAGTATCTGTACTATTTAAGACATTGCGCTTAATCATTGACCTTCCTCCAATAAAAAGAATGGTATAGAAAAATGTAACAATGCAATTAAACATTTTAATCAAATAGACATGAATAGAATTATATCAGTCATAACCCTAGCAGGAAACAGATGACACTTTCGACTGAGTCCATTGAGTAAGATTGAGTAAAGGTTCTTTTTACTGAGTTGTTAGTAGAGTTAAGGGAAACCCACAAGGGAAGATGAAGTTTTCCAGGAGTCAGCTAAAGCATGGAACCGTTACCACCTCTAAGCCTAAAGGAGCAAGTGAAGAGAGAATATCCTTGAAACCAGTGAAAGGTGTGGTGGTTGTAATATTGTAGCAGGGGTCCTCAAACTTTTTAAACAGGGAGCCAGTTCACTGTCCCTCAGACCATTGGAGGGCCAGACTATAGTTTAAAAAAAAACTATGAACAAATTCCTATGCACACTGCACATATCTTATTTTGAAGTAAAAAAACAAACGGGCAAAAACACCCCCATGTGGCCCACTGGCCGTGGTTTGAGGATGTCTGCTGTAAGGTATAATTATAGCAGTAGCTGCAGAAAACTGCTATCTGACAAAACCTGCTGCCTTCAGAGAAGAAATGTAGCCACTGCCAATGTCTGGCCTCCAAGTGAGGGAGTACGGGATTAAATACCTTTCCCTCATGTTCTTTCTGATGTAGTCTATAAAGGTCAGCCTCCTTGGACACAGAGGAGTAAAGAAGGGCAGAGATAAGCATAGGAAAGGTTATAAATTGCTCAATCTATTATACATGGACAAACAGACTATTCAACACAAGAACACTGGACCCAGCAATTAGCTAATGTACATTCTTTATAAACAAGGGACATTTATAAAAAGTATTGCATGCTAGGCCTTCAAACAAGTCTTCCTAAGCATTAAAGAATTAGTGTTACACAGGACCCATTTTCTTGCTATAATACAATTAACTTAGAAAAAATAAAAGATGAATTAAAACCTTCCATAGAATTCAAAATTAAAAAGCAGTCTTCTAAGTAACTCATAGTCAAAGAAGATATCATAATAGTGAGTTGATAATTTTAAACTAAATTATAATTCAAATGCTACATATCCAGATTTCCAAGATGTAGCTAAAGCAATAGTTAGAAGGAATTCTATAGAATTATACCATTACATTAGAATAAATGGCAAAATTAATGAGTTAAATGTCCATTTCAAAGAAGTTAGAAAAAATATCGAAATTAACTCAATGAATGTAGAAGAAAGAAAACAAAAAGATAAATTAGAGAAAGAGAAAACAAAGCTAACATTAAAAAAATCCATAAAACCAAATATAACTTCTATGAAAAACTAAAAATGATAGTCGAATTTATTCCCATTCTTGGGGTATCTGTCCATTTGCAGGGTGATCTATTAGGATAATCTCTTTCCAGCCCTCACAACTTTGCTCTTGGAAAGATGAAGTTATTTATCTTTTAGGAAGAGTAGCTGGCCACAACTAGCCAATGTCTCTCTGTCTCTGTCTCTCTCTCAATTTTGTCCTAGTTACATGGACACATGGGATCCAAACTGAGAAAGGAAATTAAGAAGTTGAGAAGATTCTGGAAAATAAAGAAATGCAGCAAGTTTAAAATATCTGGTAAGCAGAGCTGCTGTTGCACAAATGCCACTTTATAGGAAAGAGGGTACGCATGTGTGGAGCCCCTCCACCCTCCACCATTTACTGAAAATGTAAATGCCCAAATTAACATCTTGATGGTCATTTTAAATTCATAGGTCATAGATTCTGAATTACTTGAATGATGGCAAGGCTAAATAAGGATTTTCTCTAATTATGTTCCCTCAATCAGTTACCATTGAGAATGCAATATGATCTTTGGCATCTCCAAATATTGACTTCTGGGGAACATAATTTTCCCTGAGATTATTGCTGTAGGCCCTAAGGATGTTGTATTATTTGGTGGGTGTGGAAACAGAATCATTAACAGGACTCTAAGATGTCCTGTTAATGATTCAGGTTCTAAAACTAAGCAACCCAGAGACTTGGCATTGATCAATTTAACTTCCTAGGACCCAGAGGAGTCCTACCCATTCCTGTGGAAGACAGTGCAGGCTAAAGTCAATGAAGAAGGTAAATTAAACTTTTATTGAGAGTTAATTATATCCCGATAAATATGTCAAGGACTTTACATATATTACTTTAGTTAAAATTCATGTCATCTTTTTGAGGTGCCATAATTATTATTTCCATTTTACAGATTAGGTATCTTCTAAGAGACAAAAAGGTTAAAAAAATTCTTCATGGTTGCACAACTCTCAATTAACCCCTATAAGATTCAAATGCAAGATATCTGATTTAGAATCTGTGTTTTTATCCACTACATTTGAACACCTGGGCAAATACAAAGTGAGCTTTGAAATTGAGCAGAAACAAGGAATTAGGGCAGACTTAAATTTCTGTGGACTATTAACACAGAAAGGCAATATAATTTAATTGTAGATCTATCTATATTTTGGTCTTTGGACTTTGACTTACAAGCAGATTTAATAGTTAGATCTGTTTTTATTCCCAGGGAATTTGATGATGGCAGGAGATTTATATTTGTATCTAAACCATTTCTGTGCTGCTGGAATTTTATTATTATAGCATCTTTTATGTAGTTTATTATTAAAATACATTTATGATGTCATTCAGGCTCATTGAGGACCTCTAAAAAAGTGGCTAGACATAATTTGGAATGGAAACAGAATAAGGAGTGACTTTTCAGCCTTGAGTACAGAGTGGCCTTGGAAATGATTTAATTAATGCACTCTTCTGACCCATATCCAAGAAGAAAGCCAGACGAGCAGTTAAATGCAGAGTGGCATCAGGAAGAATTGCTCTGATGGGCAGCTAAGCTTTTCCCAGAAAGGTAGCACATCTCAACTGACCATAGCTTTAGTGGTTAAACCAATGAATTAAGACAATAAAACCTAGGGAATATTCGAGGTGATGATGCTTCTTCCTTTCTCCTGATGGTTATTTCCAGTGAAAAGAGACCCTATGGCATAATTATCTTAGCCTTTTGCTACATGTATTCATTCTTCCCAAGGGAAAGTGGAATACTCTATCTGATTGGAAGGAGAAACTGGTCATGTGTGGCCAGCACCTTCCTTTCTTTCTAAGGAGCCAACAGACTACAGGTAATATACATTGTGTTTGGAATCTTTAGAAACAGCTCTGCCTTAGGGGTGGAGGTCTGCTCCAGTCCAATCCTGCAGGGAAGGTAAAATTTTCTCATTCTAGGGTTCAGTAATAAGAAATCCACTTTCTTGTAGATAAAAGAAACATTTAATATCAGCACTAAAATTTCAAAATGTTTATTTTGTTTTCCATACATCTTCTTATCATATTCATTTTTCTTATTTTGGAAGAGGTTTAGAACTCAGGCAAGGAAAAGAAGCGCAAGTTAATTATTTCCTTAGCAAATATCTCAACAATAGACAACAACAGAAAAACTCCTGATGTGATTGATGGGGGAGGGATGAGAAAGAATAAGAGGGAGGGAATTTATAGCATTTATATAGGGATAACTTAGAACCAGAATCATACTGATCTGTGCCAAAGAATTACAGAAAACCTCAGGAATTAGAGGCCCTGGATTGTTCTAAAAGTGAGGGTGCAGGATGGAGTTTGAGAGCTTGAGACATTAGAAATGGTTGACTGTTTGTATAAAAAGTACAGTTGGGTAACAGCCTTATTTTTATTTTTTATTTTTTCAGACAGGGTCTTGCTCTGTCACCCGTTAGCATGCAGTGGCATTATCACAGCTCACCGTAACCTCAAACACTTGGGCTCCAGTAATCCTCCTGCCTCAGCCTCTCAAGCAGCTGGGACTGTAGGTATGCACCACCATGCTCCACTGATGTTCCTACTTTTTGTAGAGATGGGGTCTTGCTCTTGCTCAAGCTCATCTTGAACTCCTGGCCTCATACTTGAAGCCCTGGTCTCCCAAAGTGCTAGGATTACATGTGTGAGCCACTGCAGCCCAACAAGGTCTATTCTTAAATCATTAAAAGACTAAAGGTTGAATGAGAGAATCAGATTTGTGGGCACCAAGTGCATGTGAGGCCAGCAATGACATACAGAAAACAGAAGGACTGAATGAAAGTCTCCTTACAAGTTAAATACCTCACTCACCCATCTTGAAATCAAGAAAACCTGAGTAGCTGGGCTTATTCCTCTCAGCTAAGAAATGGGATATTTCCTTTATAGGGAAATTGATCAGCTTAAGACAATAATAGTAATGCATCCAGTAGTTGAGGGTTACCCAATTAAATGGCCCATACAGATTACTCTGCAATAAAACCAAGCATAAATAGTAAAAAGCTTTCAAATAGTTTCCTGGAACGTCATTGAAGTATGAACAGATAGTTTATAAGCATCAGATATTTAAACCAATCCCATCACTTGAAAGAAGAAAAAAAAATCAAACAAAAGGGAGAAAAAAGGAAGTAGGAGGAATAATTATAAAGGGAGTAGAAAAAAATTATATACACCTGTATATGTGTATATATACGTGTGTGTGTGTGTGTGTGTGTGTAGAGAGAGATAAGAAAAAAATATATCCATAAAGAAGAATGGAAATTACAAACTAGGAGAGTCAGAAAATAATACAGCTGTCATATCACATCCAAAATCTTGGAAGTTAAAAATATAATATCAGAAATGAAAATGCTACTAAAAATTTTGGAAAATAAAGTTTGAGAAATTTACCAGAAAGTGGTATGATAATAAAAAGACAAGATGAAAGTATACTTAGAAAAAGTTAGAGAGAGAATCAGACCCAAAGTTTAAATATCCAAATATAGGGAGTTTCTGTTGAAGAGAACAGAGGGAGTGAAGAGTAAGAAATTAACCATGATAATTCAGGAGAAATCCTGAAAACCAAAAACAACTGTTCGTTGATTAAAAGCTCCTACCAAGTGCCCAAACTTGTGACACAAAGACAGACTCATACCAGCACACATTGCTGTATAATTTTAAAATCAAGAGAACAAGAAAAGATTTATCCAAGTTTCCAGAAAGGGTAAAAAAAAACCAAAAACCTCATTACATAGAAAGCAAAAAGAATAAAAAGAACAAAAAATGTTCCCACAGCACTAGAAATTAGGCTATAATGAAACAATGCTTTCAAATTTAAAAGAAAAATTAATCCTACTTAAGATTCTATCTTTAATCAAGATATTAGTCAATTACAAAATCTCAAAAAAATTTACTTCCTAAGTATCCTTTCCCAGGAAGCCATGGAAAGAGGGAGAAGTGTAATTCAGGAAGCAGGAGCTTTAGCATAGAAGGGAGAGGGGGCTTTTCATGATGAAGGTGAAGAGAGATCCTAGGTTGATACTTGGGAAATTTGCTAGTTTCTCAAGAAGCAGCCTTAGTACTGCAGGGTTTATGTCTCTAAAGATAAGGTGAATTTGGTAGAGTAATTCATGTCTTGGAATATACTCAGAGGTTTAGAACCCTGAAAATTAGCTGAACACACACACACAGAGAAATATTTTGAATTGCCACCTTAATTTCGTTTGATCTCTCCTAAACGGAGAGTTCCAGTTTAATGATTTAGATTTCTACCATCCTAGTCAGAACCTGATGAACAGAATTTTTCCTGCTCCTTCCTCCATACTTCAACACTGCATTAGAAGTTGCCTGTGCTCATCACTTTCTGCTATGTGGCAGAGAATTAGGGGGAAAAAAAGGAGTGAAAAAAACCTCCGTGCTACTAGCTAGCTAGCCAATACGTTACTGGGACCAGCACTGTACTAGCATAACTAATGTTAACACTAAGAAACTTCAGAAAGCCTATACAGAAGGAATAGGCTACTGGTATTTTACAGCTTTCCAGGACTATGGTGATAAGGAACAATAACAGTGAGGGTTTTCATTACCTCCCAAACTGGAATATGGGTGACTACCTGCCATAAATATATGCAGATAGAGAACTACTCTTACGGGAAGTTATGCCAAGCTCTCAAAGGGATCCCTATTAATGCCTAGCATAGCTTCATAGCCATCTGTCCCAAGGTCGAAGTGGAATTCTACAGCCACAGATGTGAACATCAAAGGAAAAGAACATGTTTATTCGCTATGCCCTCAAGCACTATAAATGCAATGTGGAGAGACATTTTCTCAGCATCCAAGGAGACAGGCTCACCAGGCTGATCTTATGTCCTCATCTGTCCCTCCTCTGACAGGTGCCCCAGAAATGCTTGTAGAGTTTTGCAAAGAATTATTCATCATACTTTTTATTACTTTCACATAACCCAAGACTTGGTTATTGAATCTTTTCTTTATTACTCATATTTCTTACAGCACAATAGTTATTTTTCAATATGTATGGGTGGTTGCCTCCCCTTAGAGACAGAAAACCTGTTTTGATCCTCTGTTTATCTTGATGTAAAATCCAGTCTTAGCAGTCATTGGTTTTTCTTCTTGGAGCACTCATACTTTATCTTTCCATTTCCACATAGATATACACAATCTACTATTTTTTATCACCTGCATATCAGATTTATAGTCTCAAAGAGGGAGATATGATCGACTTGCACATCTTTCTATTGAGTGAGACCATCTATTTTTGATGTGAAATGTCAAGAGTTAGTCACTGAAGGAGTCTCACTATTTATAAAACCTTTGCTATAGAGCTGGAAGTCTGGGGCTCAAAGAAAGTTTACCTGATGCCTGGAGGTCAGGATTGTCAAATGACAAAGTATGTCCATCTCTACATCACCCTATTCCAGGTATGGGGTAATTTTACACAGGTATTACATATTTGTAAGTGAAGTAAAGCCAAAGGCAAAATTAATACAAATAAACTCTTGTCCATATGGATGGTTTCAGCATTTATTTTTTTATTATTGTGTTTGCCACATGCAACAACTTTACATGGCCATATTCTGACCACTGTCACCCCCGTTCACCTGCCACAAGTTTTAAGCAGAATTAAGAAAGATAAAGTCTGTGCTCTTCTCCTAAGTGTAACTGGTGAGCATGGGATGAGAAAGTAGGAAGTGCAAGGCTTGCATTGGTTACTCTTTATTTCTCCAAATTCAGACTCTGCAATCTATTAACTGCTTACTTGTGAAAATTCCAGAATTTCCCGTGTTTGCCTTGCTTTAACCAGCTTCAGTCCCTTCTGAAGCAATACTCTTTTCCCATATTTCTTCTAACTTCTCATGAACTTTAATCATATATATCTCCACCAAATAAATTCCTTTAGTTTTGTAAAGTAACATGATACTTGGAGGGCACAACAATCAGATTGGGTAAAACCGAAGGAACCAGATCTTTTAAACTTGTCCTACCTTACTTGCTGGAACTACTGCTGTAGGGAGAGAACCCCTGTCCTCTTCTCTTTTCTACTCTTCACTACGCTGCTCTTCTTGGAGGAAATCACGAGATGCTCAGGAATAGTTCATCATGAGCTCAAAGATCCCACGTGGCTCTTGGTGAGTCACAGGCTCCTTTACTAAATCTTTGTACTCTCTGAAAAGGAAACACGTGAGTAACGTATCACCCAGTTCTACCGAGTTCATCAAAATAGTCCCCAGTTTAAACTAATTTTACAACTGAGTGCTATGTCACCAAATGGGGCATATTTTCAGAATGCACAATACTAATGAGTTAGAGTTTCTAGTAGAGTGGTGGGAACTCTGAACAAAGTAAATGCGCATAAACATTATTCTGAGTTTTATTTTCAGAGGTTCATGGACTACCAGTATGGATTCATAGAGCTTCTACCCCTTGACTAGAGGTAGAAGTGGGGCGAATCAGGAAGCTTTCATGAGATATAGATTTAATTTCTCTACTCCTTTGGGCATCCTCTCCCCATCTCCACCCCATAACCCTGCATACCTAGCATTTTGGAAACTGGAAAAATCTTGATTCCTTAAAAGTTAGACCTCAGTGAATGATGATTAAAAATAAGAAAATTTCAACGGTATTCCAGTTGCATAAGGCAATGTCTTTGTCTCTCTGTGTTGAACAGTCAACAAAAATTGAAGACTGAGCCATCAAACCAGTGAGGAATAAGAATATCATTTTACTTTTCAGGCACCAAATCAGAAGGGAGAAGTTCATCTGATGTGCTTTGAGAAACCTGGCCCCTATAAACAACTGATTTGATGTTTATTTACAGCAAATGGATCGACTAAAGTCTGAGGTATAACAAAAGTTTCCCAGCTCCTGCAGTGTTCTCTAAATGGTTTCCCTCCTGACCTCATAAGGGACCTAATGGCCTTTCCCCTCTTTGCAGCTCATTCGTAAGATTTGTTCACTATGGTGCTAAGTTATGTGGGCAGAAGAGTGAGTGGCCAACTTTGTGAACATGTTATTCGTACTGTAATATTAGTGTGGGTTATGTGCTAGTTTTCTTCTGACGTACCTGAGCCTTAAAACATCAGTGATGCCATGGAAAATCTTGATCTGCTAATCCGTTGTATCTGAAACCTTCTACTGTTTTTAAAAATCAATGCCTGAGCTCCTTCTCCTTCCTTTTTGGTTGAGCAAAGTGTTTCTGGAAAAAAAAATCTTTAAAAAAAGGTTTTAGCTACTTATTAACTCACTGTTATGTGCCCTTCTCTGTGATTCACTAATCCAGCACCTGGCTAATGGATGTCACTCTGTGCCTAGCACTGCTCAGGTGTGCGGTATGTAGCATGGATGGGAAGAACAAGGAACCACCCTCTAAAGATAGAAAGTGAGGGAGAGTAAAGACACTACAACAGTAAACTTTATAATAAGTGAAATAATATATAGTGATAACCTAGGCAGGGGTGGGGTTGGGGGCTGGTCAGAAGAACACTTTGCTGTAGCTTTGAGCTGAGGCTGGAATGGGAAGCAGCAGCCATGGGCAGGTCAGCAGGCAGATCACTGCAGACAGAAAAGAGTTTTTCCAGCTCTGTGCTATTGACATTTGAGGCCAGGTAATGATGTGTTGTAGGGGCTGTTCTGCTACTGTAGGATGTTTAGCAGCATTCCTAGCATCCACCCAGTACAGCTGTTACAACCAAATTGTCTCTAGACATTGCTGAGTATCTCAGGGGGAAGGGGGATTTGCTCCCAGTTGAAACTGCTTTGGTAGAGGCATCATAAAGTGCAGAGGCTCTAAACAGCAACAAGCTAAACAGGCTTAGAAAAAGCTAGTGTGTCTGGAAGAAAGTGTCTTAAGGGGAGAGTAGGAGGAAAAAAGGTCTGGATGTATGCCAGGGTCAAATCATATTAGAGCCTTGCAGGCTATGGTAAGGACCTAGGATTTCATTCTAAATATACTTGGAAGACACTGGAGGATTAGGTAAGGCAAATTCTCATATGATTTGCATTTTAAGACCACTGGTGGCTTCTCTATGAGATGCTGCCAATGCTCATTTTACAGACTTGCTTGGCTTAGTAGATTGGCTATTTGAGTTCAAAGCTAATGCTTATTTTAGATTTTGGTAATAATTTTTATTTGAATTTTATGGAGTTAGATTTGCCAGGTGAGCACTCTAGACACTAATTCACCTAAGAGACTATATAATTAATCTGGGTAGGCATTAAGACTTGGTGTCCTGGCCATGCAAAGGCATCCAAAGCCATGATTGGAAGTCAATATACCTTTTAGCTTAATTATTACTCTAAATTAAACATAAAAATGAAAATAAAAACTCTGAGTATAGCCATTTGTCAATTACTAAATTACTATGTGCTGTTGAGAAAAGAAGACCCAATTACTGATGTAATGCTCATACAATTGGGCTCTTTGTTTCTCAGTTTTAGTTGCATCAACAGGATCCAATAGGTGTGGAATTTCAAAGTGATGTGCCAGACTGCAGAGTGGACATGTCTCAGGAGGTGTTCTAGGATGATGAGAGAACTCTCGAGTTCACAAGGAAGGTAGAAACAGGTCGAGCAGTGAGAAGCTCAACTGTGGATTGTGAAGAGTTGCTGTTTATGCTCTTAGGTCCACCCTGCTAAGAATGAGGCGAGTGTACCCCCTTTCATCCAAAGCTGAGTGACAGGCAACCTCAAAGAAACCACTCCTTGCAGTTATGACACTCAGTAGAGAAAGTGTCTGACACAGGCTTGGGTTATCTTAAAAAAAGAGATGGTAGCTAGTGGCCTGAAGCATCAGGGGAGAGAGGAGAGAGAGAATGAATTGGAACGTCAATGCAAACTTCACTATAACCAAAAAACAAAAACAGCATCTTAAAGAATGGATGAAAATCTTGTGTCCAGTTTTATGCTTTTATGAATAATGTACTATGAATATTAAATAAAGTATCAATTTTATTTATAAAAAAGAATGAATGAATTTTTCCCATGCATTTTTCCAAGGTCCAGAGTTGAGTGCATAAGCTGACTTGTCCTTTTAAACCTTGCCCATTACAGTGCTTGAAATAATGGCGGGGGTTCCAACAGTGAGAATTCTGTGTGAAATGAATCCAGGAGAACAAAATAGCCTAAGTTGGAGCATATGCCTGATGAGGGAGGTGTGCACTGCCCAGCTGGAGTGGCTCAGTGGATGGAGCATCTGAAGGACCAATACAAGCACCCAGGAAGGAAAGGTTTAAATATCAGGCAGGCTTAGCAGAACTAGTCAATTAATAGCTCTCCTCATTAAGAAAAGTTTATCCTCTTCTCCCTCAGTTCAGTCCAAGATGGACCCAAAGCCCTGATTTGCAGGAAGGAGGGGGTGGAACAGGGAAGGAAGAGTTCAGAGAGTGATACTGAATTGGCCAGGTTCACTGATATGACATAATAGAGGACCAGCCTTTTCCTGTTAGCAAATAGAAACTGTGCATTGTGGCTTAGAATACATTAGGTCATTTGAAAAGATAGTGGAAGACAAAAATACATTTATATTTTATTGTATTCTACTCATCTTGCTTGTTCAACATGCCAGTTATAATGTCATCAAACTGTTACAGATTACACTTTATTCTAGAGTGTTTCCTCAGGATTGGGGGAACACACACCCCTTTTGCTAACCTGGAATATTCTTTTTTTTATTTCAAAATATCAAGGGGGTATAAATATTTTTGTTGAGTTTGATGTTTTGCTTGAGTCAGAGGTATAAGTGTGCCCATCACCGGAATAGTGTTCATTGTACCTGTGAGGTGAATTTTTGCCCCTAGCCTTGTCCCCTTACCCTCCCCTTGCTTGATTTTCAATGACTTTTGCTTCTGTCTATGCACTTGTATGCCCATCAGTTAGTTCCAATTTATTAGAGAGTACATGTGGTATTTGTTTTTCTGTTCTTAAGATACTTTGCTTGGGATAATGGTCTCCAATTCCTTCCAAATTGTTGCAAAATGTATTAATTCATCCCTTTTTAAGGCTGAGTTGTACTCCGTGGTTACCTATACCACTTTTTGTTAATCCATTCATGAACTGATGGGCACTTGGGTTGATTCCAGATCTTTGCAATTGTGAATTGTGCTGCAATAAACATTCGAGTGCAAAAGACCTGGAACATTCTTTGTTTCAGTTGTTCCAAGTTTGGTCTGCAGGGTTATTAGAATTAAGTTTTTCCCTATACTTTAGAGCAAACATTTCTTTCTTTCTTTATTCATTTAACACATGTATACAGAGTGCCTAATGTTTACCAGGCACTGTTTTTAGTAGTCTTGGTTCAAGGTATTTGGAAAACTACACTACATAGGCTAGCACCAAGAGGTGCACGCTTCCGGCTCAAGGGACCATGTTTCAAGGCCATGAAATGCTCAGGAAGCATTCAAGTAACACATGCCCAGATCGCCACTCTCCAGAGAGACATAGTGGAGAATTATAGTAAGCTGGGGATTCCCTGGGGATGTGTCCATTCTTCACATACCCATTATCTTCTTTGATACTCTCTAAAAACTGAGATATATCTACTCCTAACTTAATCTGCAATGAATTAAAATGAATAAATACATTTTTAGCTCTTTTTCTATTTATGTAAAGACTATGTTTATATTGTTCTTTTCCACTAGGCTACTTCCTTTCCTAGAAAAGAGAAGTTAACAGTGTTATACTTGTGTGTTTTGACACTCTCCAATTTACTCTATTAGACTTTAAACTTCACAAGGATAGACTTCTACAATCCATCATCAATTTTGATTCAGCAGATCAAAGTGGCATCTAAGTTTTTGTCATTTCTCTAAGTTCCCCAGGTGGTTTTGTCAGCTGGGCTTGACAGCCGGTAGTGTGGAAAGACCAAGTTGTGAGGTGAGGTGTTAGAAGACCAATCTCAGGTGTGTGCCTCCAAATTCCACATCACTATTCTCAGTTCAGAACTGTGCATTCTGATGTGAACATATTTTCTAACAGCTGTGTAAACCTCTGGGTCTGGGTTTCTTAACCTTGGCACTACTGACGGTTGAGACTGGATAATTCTTCATTGTGTGGAAGGGGGTGATGTCCTTTGCATTGTAGAATGTTTAGCAGTGTTCCTGCCCAGATGATGCCGATAGCAACTTCCCCATCCTCCAGTTGTGACAACCAAAAATTTCTCCAGATATCGCCAAATACATCCTGTGGAACGAAATCACCCTGGTTGAGAATCACTGCTCTCACCTCTGTACTAATTTTCTATTTTACCATTAGAAAAAAAGACCAAGAAAGGGACTAGTCAAGAAATATTCTGGGAGCAAGACAAAGACAATAGCAAATGCCATAAAATAATGTGGTAGAATTGAATTTCCCAAAGAAATACGTTGAAGTCTTAACCAATGTAGTTAAGAAGAGGTCATACTGGATTCGGGTGGGCCATAGTGGAATGGCTAGTGTCCATATAAGCAGAGGGAGATGGAGACAAAGCTATATAAAGATACAGGCACAGAGAGACCATAGTCCCAGGTGAAGACAGAGACAGAAACTGGAGAGATGTAGCTATAAACCAAGGAATGCCAAGGATTGCTGGCAACCACCAGAAGGTAGGAGAGACGCATGGAACACACTTTTACCTCAGGTCCTTCAGAGGGACTGCAGGTTGCCTATAGCTTGACTTTTGTGGAAATTTGTTACAGCAGACCTAGGAAACTAATTGAAATGATAGATGAAGCAAAAAGAAAAAAGAAACGAGAGAGAGAAAATAATGCACATGGGCTACACTAACTTTCTTCTGAATAGTCAATCAAATGTAAGTTGTAAGATGAGCTTTGTTCTGTAAGATCATAATATTGTGCTCTATGAATCACATTTTAGAAAACAGATCAAGTCACAATTTAGGAAGCAGAAAACGAAAACAGGTGCTCAGAATATAGCAACAAGAGCATAACACCTCACTATATATGTTAACATTAGTCAAAGAGTTTGCAAGCTATTAAATGCTCTAAAAACAAGAATCAAACAGCACTATTGTACTTATGCCTTTAAGTTTATTTATGGTAAAAAATTAACTAGTATTTATATACAATTACTTCATTTTGCATTGGGGAATGTTTTTATTCTTTTGTTTCTGGGTCTTAGTCAAATATTTTTATGGTAGAACATCCTCTTAAATTATCTGAATTTTTTATGAGCATATATTACCTTTACAAATAGGAAATAAATGTCATTTCAAATTCAAAAATAAAATATTATGATCTACTAGTGTACACATATTATTTTTATTTATTTCACTTTGTAAAATGCCCCTAACTAATATAATTCAATAAGATCCTTAATTCTTGAATCAAGAAGGTAGCAGGAATGGAAGAAAGACAACATGGCATAAAATAAAATTTTCCATATAAAAACTACTTGAAGTGATTTTATTTAGATGATATATTTAAATTTATAAGCATACATAAAAAGGAAATATATGAACAAGACTGGCTATACACAGAACATATTGAAGTGAGTTAATATGAGATACATTTATGTTTAATATTGTGAAAAAAGTTAGACAAATATATTTTACGAAGTCAGAGATATTTCACAAATTAACAAAAGCTAAAAAACAACAAAAAATGTTAATTTATAGCTTTGGGTTCTCAAAGCCAGAACAGAAAAGGAAGTGATTTCTTCTTATGTACTTTTTCTGCAATTAAACTCTGCTCCTACCAGGTTTTTATAGGCAGGCTTTCCTACATGTTATGACCCCAACCAGAGAGAAATGGAAACACTACAATGTCTAAGAGAATCATTTACTAGCTCAATAACGGTTTGCGACTATCTGTTGTCTTTACTCGATCAGCACGGTTATACCTCCTCCCTGAGCTCCTACAGTGGCTTCAGTGGCATTTCATAGCATTGTTTCTTTTTCTAACACACTCCCTATTCCTTCCACCTTTTCCTGTGGATACATCTACTCTTTCTATTCCTTGAAACACCTGTCATCTGTGTACATCCCTTTCATTTGAATTCCCACATCCAGATTCAAGACATTATCTTCTGTGCTCAGTGTCTCAGGGTACGGTGGGGAATGACAGAGGTGCCCAGCAGAGGCAGTGAGAGGGGCAGAAACTTGCTCCATTGTTAAGCACGTGCCTTTGTGTGAGATAGTGCCCTACCAGAGGAAAGGAGGCCTCTTTGTCTCCACAAAGAGAATATCTATTTCCCAAGTCATGTGCCTATAGGCTGCATCCACCTGGAGAGTGTACTTTCATTTTTTATTAATCAATTTCCATAGGAAGTGCCTTTTTCTAATTACCCCAATGACATACTATGAACTGTCACTGGCTTTGCATACTTCACCTTCACCATTTCATATATCTTCACTTCCAAATCCTACCCACTAGGTCTTGCTTTTTGCTACTACAATAATTTTCCTAAAATATATGATACTTGATAAACAACAAAAGGCTCGGTTTGTAGTTTTGTATAAAATGACAATCTAATACCTAAAATAGGGTGTGTAGAAAGGAAAGAATAAGGTAAAAAGTGGGCACCGGGCCAGTAATCCCCAATATGTTGTCATTTGACTCTCTTTATCAGGACCTTCTTGCATGCTTGTTAAGAGCACAAATTCTTGGGCAGTGTAAGACTTACCCAATGAGAGTCTCTAGGTGGGCTGGGGTGGGGGGCAGGGAATCTGCATTTCAATGCTCTCTCAAGGTCATTCTCTCATATAGTAAAATTTGAGAATTAATGCTTTCAGAAGAATTTAAAAAGGAGAGATCCGTAAATTAGACTGACATTGAGAAATAAAACAATGTAGTAAGTGTTCCCACTTCAGCCTACATGTTAAGTCCAACAATGAAGTTCAGATGTGTTCAGTAAACTGAGAGTGTGGGACTACCAGGAGTATAGAAGCAGAGGCCCTGAGATCCTCTTGGGAGAAACACTGAGCCTTAGCACAGATGGAAAACAGCATAACAAGCTTGATGTAGTAAAACTATCCTGAGTCACAAGAGGAAGAATTCTGAGCATGTCTATCAATAGGTCCTGGAAATAGTAGGGTACCCTAAACAATGAGGAGAGAGACAGCTACAAATAAAAAAAGAAAGAGATACTTCATTAATAACTCATACGGACCTAGGGACTCAAGAAGCACAGCTTTAGCACCCCACTATATCAACCGGTCTCTAATTATCAAATCTATTCAATCAAAAAGCACTTACGTATTTC